AATTAGCACTAGTGGATCCTTGCGTAGGGAGGACACTTCCATCAACATCAGGATCTTCCTTCTGGTACAGAACATGGGGCATTGACAATTTGCCATAAACCCCTCTCCTCCTCCACCTCCTTTTTGAGAAAATCTGGCACCACTGACTCAGAGGACCTCACCAGAGGGGCATTAAAAAAGGAGAGAATGACATGAGAGAAAAGGGGGAGATACTGGGGACTGTGTGTAGAACTATTTCTCCCCACCTCCCCCCCACCCTCCACCCCTCTTTTTGTAATAATTAAATCAAACCAGTAGCCATTTTTTGATTGGACAGTTCTGTTAGACTAACAAAAAAGTCTTAGCTCCACACATGCAGTGTGTTCCCTTTTTGTCCCATGACAAATGTAAGAATTGCACTTTGCTTGCATAAAAACAGGGAATTGTGCTGTTTATATGTGATTAAATATTTAGCATCCACATTTCCTTGTGTACTTTAAGAAAAATTGATATAGCAGCTCACTAAAGACAAGCAAACCCAAGGATAGCTGTTGCTGTTAAATTCTCCTTTAAGACTATTTTTAAATCCGTAGCGCACTACGGATTTAAAGTAAAGAAAAAGAGAACCTAAAATTCTTCTTCAGTTTTTCAACATATTCCTGGTTAAAAAAAAAAAAAAAGTTTTACAAATGTTCCAGTGAAAAAAAGTAAATATTGTTTCTGTGCAGAAGTAGCATTTTGATCAGAATAACTCAGTCTAGGCATAATTTAAATCAGGAAAGTACATATACAAAGATTTTACAGAATACTAGAAAATAAATTCTTTATACATCTGTTAAATTGATTCCATATGCTTAAATACTTTAAAGTGTTATTAACATACTTCTTCAGTGTTTCAGTGTTTTCTTCAAAGTGCTTAATTACCTTCACAGTTTATTAAGCCATTTGCCCTTCAAATTGCTGTAATCATTATAAGAAAAAGTGGTTTTAAAGATATACATACCAAGTCATCTATGCAAAAGAAAACCTTAATTTCAAATTTTGAAATAAGTGAATGCAGGTCTTTCCAACAATACATGCCATGAGAAAAGATTTTTTCATCCTCACTTCCTTCTCTCCACCACTGATTCAACTTAAGCCTCAGCAGCGTGCATTTGGATGAGTTTATATGTGTAAACGATAGTAGAATTGCCTGGGTTCTCTGAGAGGCCAAATGGTGCAGGTAAAAGGGAGTAGAACTAGCTTTCTGGTCCTTGTGTGCCTTTAAGAAAACTTTTTTTCACCTGTAACCCAAGAATAAATTAGCAGAGCTTGCTTCAAAGACAGAAACTGCAATATCCCTGCTTCCCTTTATAACCAGTGAGAGCAAGTGTCACTCAGATGCCCAAATGAATCCTCCAAATATTGTGGTACATAGGTTTGAAATGAAATACAGGTTTCAAAAAAGAGGGGTGAAATAAATGGCTATGGATTCATCTCACTAACTCCATGGTCATCCCTGGGACTTCTTACAGATCAAGCAGGAGGTAGGGATTGGGACTTTTTGCAATCTAGTCTTCAGAAAAGACTGCTTTCTCTGCTGAGCCAGAAGATCTGCAAGGAGATAGCAAAGCACTGAGCAGAGCCGCTCTCCAGGAGTGCCTGCCTTTATTTTAGGTGAGTGCATCTCCTGCTCTTATCTTGCTTCCCAGCTCGTTCTTTTATGTATGTTTATTCAACTTGACTAAAAGTCAGCTTAACTAAATTGAAACAAAGTAGTCAAAAGAGACTGTGATCTGTTTACCAGCTGGCAATTTTAAGTTAAATTAGCTATCTCATGCTTTCTGGCAGCCTTTAGTTTGCATCTTCAAACACATGTACAATTTTCTGAAATTTGCCATTTGTGTGACCACCTTGAAAGGACTGGACTTTAAAACTCATTACTTCAAGAAGCTGGGAAAATATCAAAGCAATGCTAGAATGTGAGGGGTTGGTTCGTCTTATTTTGAAATTCCTCCAAAAATCTGGGATAAGATAGGGTAGAATTAGAACCTGGTGAGGTAGATTTTCACTCATGAGCTGTCTAGTCTATCTTTTTTTAAATAAATAAGAAAAAAACATAAACAGGAGTGGCAACAAAAAGTACCATGTTAATCTCCTTTCTTTTTTTTCTAATTCTTTTTCTGTTTTTCTCTACTCCTTTCTATTCTTCTTAACTTTTGGTATTTTATTAAGGCCTAATTCTGGCTTTCAGCATATGTGATGTAATGTTAAATTCTGAATGTAGTTAAATGCATGTGTATGTGAATAATCAGTGTGTCACTGAGGCAACTTAATGTACGTGGCAGCTATTATTCCAACCTAGCTACGCAGTCGATTTTAGAAAAATAATCTTCATGAATTCTAATTGTTTTGGTTTAATAGTATGGGTAATTATTGTGGGTAAGAATTTATTTTCAAAGTATGTTTCTTCTTTTTTTTGTGGGAAGAATTTTAATAGAAAAGGAGGATTGTATCTTGAGAGCTTCTTGGCATTTTTAAACGTCGTAAGCAAGGTAAACTACAATTAATTTTTCAGACATATGTACTGTTTGCTTTTCTGCAACATGAATTTTCTGCTAATCTTGTATTAACTCTATCAAACTTGAAACAATAAATCTTCTAGCTGCCTGTTAGAAAAGCCTTCTAAGAAAAGTTCCTGTTCTTTCCACAATGGAACCAGGATTTCATCTAATAGAATTGCACTGTTAAAATCAACAGAAGTCAAAAAAAGACTTCGACAAAACGTTTTCGTTTTTAGCTTAATCAAGAAAATTGCCATGCAGAAGTACACTTAAACATTACCTTTTGCTCCCATATTTTCATGTGCTGAAGTTCTCACATTTCAAATAGCAGCAAAGCAATTAGCGGATACAGAAATGCCTCTCACCTGCTGAAGTGATACTGCCTAAGTTCTTTCTTACATTGCATTATATTTACTTTGTTTTTTTGATCCTGGATATTTAAAATGTGAATATGTCAAAATACAGAATTTCTGAAGAACTGAAAACATGAGAAGAAGATTGCTAGAGCTAAGCCATTACTCACTGTGTTCTTAATATTTTATGGGTGTATGATACATGTGAGCTGCATTAGTTGAACGACTGACTAGTTTATACTAGAATATACTTATGCCCTTTTTCTCTCAAACCTAGAACAGCTGGATATTTCCTGAAGGAACTGTAGCCTTTGGAAAGCTCACACTGGAGCAGACTTTTCTGAACAGGAAGAGGAACAGGGAGGGACCTTAACCCCCAATCCTCTTCTGCTGCTGGGGGGGCAGGTAAAGGAGTTAAACTGAGCCCAGGAAAAAATTGGGGGGGGAGGGGGGGGGGGGGGTGGGTTTTGTTTTTTCTTTTTTTTTT